CGGGTGCCCCTGAGGCGGGGCCGGCGGCGTGCGGGCCGGGGCGGGGGCTGTCCCCGCGCCGGTCGCTTTTGAAGGCTGCCTTTCTCTGGTGGAGACCTGAAAGTAACGTGGCCAACGGCTGCATGAGTTCAGCCAGTGGGCAGGCCGTGGGCTGATCCCTGTGCCGCGCCGGGCGCTGCCCGGGAAGGGAAAAAGGGACCTGGCTCCTGGTTATACATGGTTTAGCGTTGGAGGTGTAGTCTTCCGAGTTTAGTGGCACGTCTTTGGGGAGGTGGTAGGTGAGAGGACAACTCTGTAATACCAATGCATATTTTGAAGTGGTGTATGCAGCCACTGGGCTTTTCATTCATTAGTGTTTGGTTGGTTGGTTGTTTTATTTTTTTTAAATTCCTGTAAAAATTATTATCCGTTTGTTCCATGCATTAAAGTAACTATGCTTGACAGTTCAGACGTGTATTTCAAGGTCTAATCAATGACATTTGGGACGTTATTTTCATTCTGTAATGAAGTGAAGAAGGAAAAGAAGATTTACGTGGGAGAGGTTTTAAGTGTGTTTAAGTGCACATTGACTTGTAGTTGTCTCATACATGTGGCTCAGTAAGAGACAAAGCTGTTGAATGTACACCTACCTTATTTTGTTCCTGTGTTTATAAACCAGAACTCAACTGCTACACATTTCTGCCTGAAGCTGTGCTTTTTTAAAAATTTTGTGTGTGTTTGGGTGGGGTTTTTTTTAATTTTTCCAATTCTTTCATCTGAAATGCTTGTTTACTGGTGTTCTTCATCTGTGTTCAAGGGACAAAGTTCCACTGCTTTCAACACAGAAGATGATGTATAATACTTTTGGATAAATTGAAATGCATCTTTTCTATCACTGCATCAACAGAACTGTAAAGCTTTAATTTTGGATCCAAATAGTTCCTTCTGTTGAACCAATAACACCCCAGCCTTCTGAGTACCGAAACAAGAGATTAGGATGTAACTTGTAATGAAGAGTGAGGGAGAAACAGAGTACAGTTTTGTAAAGAAGCAGGTACAGTGATAGGTCTATTAGCTATTTTAAGGTAATAGCATTTGTTCCTCTATAGATGATCTGTATGTGTTTTTATAATTAGCCATATTTGATTAAATTAAAGAAAGAAAAACTTTGGGAATGGTTTTCTGAAGTAAAAGTTACTGACTTCCAGAATAAACTTCTGGCAGTTGAAACTGTGCTGCTTGATACTACAGCAAATGTGACAAAACCCAGATACACCAAGGAGCATTCATGCAAGACTAGAAATAGGGGTGATAGCAGTGCTGCTTTGTCAGAGCCTGGGATTTTGTGCAAGGCCTCTTTTCAGAGCTGTGAAGTGAATGCTTACATATGCCATTGGGAAACCAGTGTGTTAAGTTTGTTGTTTGGTGGGGTTTTTTGTTTTTTATAGTTTTGTCTATTTTAACAGAAAAAAAGTGACATTAGCTGTAACTTTCACTCACTGTGATGGATCAGAATCCCTGGAGGCAGCCATAGCTATGAAGAGGATGGCAGCTTTGCATATTCCAAACTGGTTCTTCAGTCTGAAGCTGTACTTTCTCATTTCATAGGCAAAGGTTGGGAAAACTAAAAGTGACAATCTTAATTTATGCAAAACTAAAAGTGACAATCTTAATTTATGCAAAGCATCATATGGGTGGAATATATCATACAATGCAATAAAATAGTTAACCCTTGATCTGTTGTTTAACTGCTTTAAAACAAGGCTTGTAGAAGTTAACTGCTTATTTTTTGTGTGTTTTCTTGGGTGAGAACAGTCTTCTCTTGCTTCAGAATCAGAACTTGGATCCTTTGTTTCTAGTATATGTTTCTTACATACATAGACAACTTCAACTGGCACATTTTTTCAGACATGTATTCCAGAGAAGAAATGCCTGTGTGGGATCAGTGGTACTGCTCTTAGAGGGATGTGGATCTTCCAGATTTTTATATCCCTTGGCTGAAGCTTCCAAACCTCTGTAGAAGCTCAGGCTATTGTGTAAGTGCTTGTTTTGACACAAGGGAAGAGAGGTGGAAGTTGTTGGTTTGTTTTTTTTTTTTTAATATTTATTTATTTTTAAATTGGTTTAAATCAATTGTGAAACTACAGCATTAGGGAAAAAAACCTGTCACCTTAGGCGCAGATTTCTTGTTTTAGACTTTGCATTTTTAGATGTCTGCACAGATCTGTATTCAGAAAGTGATAGTTCCTTTGTGGTAGGCTCATCAAAATGCCTTCAAGGAGAGCAATTCATGGCCCTTGTGACACTTTTTCAGTCTTCTGTCTGCATCAGCTTACTTGCATAGAGTGACTCTGCCATATGTGCTCCTCCTTGACAATCTTCTCTGGAGTGCTTCTGTTTGAGTGGACCCAGTATGAACACCACACAGGCTTTTTTTTTTCCTTAGTCCATAGTAGTTTCTAATAAAAATAGGCAATGAAGCTGGAGAACAAGAGTGCATGAACTGACATCACAGTTGAAATTTTGACATCTACCCCAAAGAAAGCTTTTCCAAAGGGCACAGTCTCTTTTAAAGAGGGAATAAAAAGGCTATCATGCATCACAGGAGTTTCTGCTAAACCTAAATGTTCTGTCTAAATTTCTAATGTTTATTTTATGGATTTTGTTTTTTCCCAAATTTTGCTTACATGTACCAGAATGCAGGAGTACTTAAAAAACAAACCAAGGAAAAACTGTCATGTTATTTCTTACCTACCACCTTTTGAGAGATGTTGGATCAGATAACTGTCTGGCCTTAACAGCACTTGTGTGTTGTCGTTCTGATACTTTTTTGATTAAGATACTCAAGGTCTTGAGTAGGACTTCGTAGAAGATGACGTAGAAGTCTGACTTACCTGTGACCATCAGGAATAGCCAAATTATCACAGGTGGTGGCTCTTCGTTTAAAACTAGCAACTTGGGCAAAATTATAGAGGCCAAGAAAGTGCACAATGTTTCTTCCCATCTGCAACATGGGTTGGCTTCTGTAAGTCACTGGGGTTCCAGGAAGAGAGTAAGGCCAATGTTTTCTGTGTTCTTGATCCAGCCAAATCCTCTCTGAGTCCTTAAAGGTGCTTTGGTGCAATGTCTTCGTATAAAGTTCTCTGTTCAGCTAAACTTTGAAGCTGTGTCATTTATCAGCATATTCAAATTAATGTTCTATATGAATTATATAATACTATTTTTAAACAAAATTTGGATTATTTATTCAGTAATGTTAGCTAGTTTTAGTATAAAATGTATGAATGTATGTTAAGTCTAAACAATTATATTAATAATTATATGAGTCTCCATTGTAGTTTTTCCTTGTTTTGTGGTCTCAGGTTCATAGAAAAGGAGGCCTGTTTGTCACCTAGTCAGGAAGAATAAACTGGTTTTGTCTGTTCCTGAAAATCTTCCATAACAGAACAACCCAGACATTCCTTATATCACTTGCTAATGCTAATATTTTATTTCCATTTATGTGTGTGTGTGTAATCAAAAAGCTCTCTTAATATTTAGCTTAAATACTCTGGTAAATTAAACTGCTAAGTACTCCTACTTTGACCGTGATTGATCATCATCCTTCTGTAGCAATGCTTTGGTTCACCTTGCGGTGGGGGAGTGGACCGTTTGGCCTGTTACCTCTCAGCTATCTTTTTTTGGTGTTGTTTTGTTTTGTTTTGTTTTTTCTCAGCCAAAAGAGTGTGATTTCCTTTAGTCTGTTTTCCTTTAAAACATAGTCTTAAGCTACTTACCATTTGTCTCTGTGTTCTGGACTTGTTCCAGTTCTTACATCTTTCTTAAAATGGCCTGTCCAAAACTGGACATGGTTGACACATCACCATTGCCAAATTAGGACAAAAAATTTTTTGTGCTGTGCAGATGGCACTTATGTTACTACATCCTGTAGTTGCCTTGCCTTTTCTTTGCAGCAGCTTGTTGCTGGTGACTTAGTGATCCGCTCTCCAGCTGCTAGAACTTTTTCTATAGCATTACTGCCTGTTTTATTTTTTTGTTTTATATTTTTGCACATGAGTTTGAGTATGCCATTTTGAACTTGTCTTAAAATGTGTTAACTAGATTTCATCTTGGGTTTTTTGGTTATATTGAGGTGGTTTTAAAATGCTAATCTTGTCTTTCCAAAGGGCTTGCAGTACAATCTGTCTTACAAATGCATAAGGGAAAGAATAATGGGAGAGAACAAATAGAATGGCATTTTTTCTCTATGAGAAAGCCCCATTGTGTCCATCAATGTAGTTACTAATTAAAACTTGTATGATAAAGAAATGGTTTGGGGTTGGGGTTTTTTACTTGTTTTCAGAAAAGAGGAATATTGCTTTTTGCAATGGCTACTTTCCTTCAAGGCATTTGAAGAAACAATTTTAAGATCTTCGAGGGATGTCCTTCCTTGCCATATCCATCAGTTGTCTGAGAAGAGCTCTTACCTCACTTAAAGCAGTTGAGCTTTCAATATTCAAGGGGGCAACATTTTTTTTTCCTTTTTTTTTGCCTTGCACTCTCCCTATCCCCTCTCTACTTGAAGTAATCAGATGTCACTTGCATAGCAGTCTTCCTCATCAGAGCTGTCACTGATCATTCTTCTTTCTTTCCCAGTGACCTTGAGCCTGAATGGTTGGATGGTGTGCAGAAAAATGGGGAATTATTTTATTTAGAATTGAGCGAAAGTGAAGAAGAAACTCTGCTTCAGAACAGCTGTCCAGAAATGCCAGCAGTGAATCATGTCAGGTTTCGTGAAAATGAAGCTGAAGTTATTCAAGAGGGATCACGAAAAGAAAGAAAATACGAACTGAAGAAATGGACCAAAATATTAAAAAAGAAGAATCTTTTACCAAAGCATTCTAGTAAGAAAGGCAGTGGAAGCTGTAATGCACACTCCACTGCTCCGGCTTCCATATTGAAACACCAATCTGCTCAGAAAATGGGTGTCACTGTTCAGCAAAAATACAAAGATATATATGTGTATGTAAATCCCAGAAAACTGTACAGTGCTGGAGAGGATGAGCAGCACAGGCTGCTGGAGGCCTTAGTAGGGATTGTCCATCAGTCTTCATGGAGCAGCAGACGAGCAGAAAAACAAGGCAGGAAGGATAAAGCAATCAGAGGAATTGGTGAAGAGAAGCTTGTAGTACATGGCTTGGTGCCAGGTAGTTCTGCAATGAAAACGGGTCAAATCTTGATTGGTAAGTAATCGAATGAATGGTTCGGTTCTGCACTCTTCCTTTAAAATGGTGATTTTTAAGTTTGGGGTTTTTTGAGGCAGCTGACTTCAATATTACTGAGACATAAGCAATTACTTAAAACAACTATTTTGTCAGTTCTTGAGGGATTATTTCAATAAATGTCATTGCATCTGATGTTTTGTTCAATTTTAATGTATTAGTGGCTTTAAGAACATGTGACAGAAACTAGAAACTGTTAATATAGTAAGGAGATGACTGTTCTTTAAGCATACAGGGAATGAGCAGCTTGAACTTGGAGCAACGAGTATACCACCACCACCTTTAGTTTAATGCAGAATTTGCTCAGTAGATAAGTAGGACTGAGAAAAAGCTGTAGTCTGCCAGATACTCTATTTTGTTTTCATTCTTTTCTGCACCATCCCCCCTAGATAAAAACCTTTACTGTATGTGCTTTAAATGGATTTTGTACCATAAAAACGAGGAGGAAATACTAAGATACATTCATATGTTTCAAACTTTCTGCACAGACTTGTTTGGATATTCTGTTCAGCAAGTATAACAGCTGCTGCTTCAGTGGTTGTGATCAGAAGGCCTCCAAATAGTGGGGCTGCAGTTTGAGGAGGCAGTTAGCCAGTGTAGCAGCTCTCCTTTGTGTTGGTTTGGCTCATCAGACACTTCCATAAGCTGATGCAACAAAATAACCTGGCAGAAAACTAATCCAGAAGAAAAATTGCCTGTCTATTTTTTCCTGGTGTGGTAAGTTAAACTTGGGTCACAGAAGGTCTGACGAGCACCCGAGTGTGAATAACGGAGGGGAATGAACTTCTGTGGCTGGTAGGGAAGGAGCAGAAATACTCCCACTTCCATCATCAAGAGGCCATTAAAAGGACTCGGCACTCACAAGACCCCAACCTCAGAGACCGTAAATGTGAGAGAGCTAGTCTACATCTGTCAAGGGTGGGAGGTTGTTTAGTTACCCTTTAAGTTGGTCCCTTGTAGGGAGGGAGCAAAGATGTGATGTTGGTTACAAGATCATGAAAACCTTAATACTATAGTAGCACAAATCCCACAAAGTCAGCATGAGTGCTTTCAGAATTCCAATGTTGTGTGTGTAAAAAGGCAAATCGTGCTTTGACTAGCTGATTCTTCTAGCACGTGTTTTTTGGTAAGGATGCTGAAGAATACTCCAGAGGAAAAACTGGATAACTTTCAAATTTTAGCAGAAAGAACTGATTAGTCAAGAAGTGGGGGATGCAGAGTGAGGGGGATGAGGGAGTAAGTTTCAGCTTGATCTGCTTAATGGTATTTAATCTAATTAGTGTAAGAGTGGGTATTTCTAACCTGTAAATTAATTTGGGGACACAAATTTGTATGTAACTACATGTTTGTAAGAGCAGGTGTGAAATCAGAACAGCATAGGCAAATACCAGATCCAGGAGATAAAGCCAACCTTCTAAATGGAGATGGTACTTCATGTGCAGCACTTAATGCTTCCCAGAGCTAGTGAGGATAAAAACTGTGGGGTTTTTGTTTTATTTTAAATAGAAGAATATTTAAATTAATGTAATGAGTCTAGCAGTTTAATATGTCCTAGGCTATCATCAACCAATATTGCCTTGTTTTTGCACATTGGAAACAAATACTTTCAAGCATACTGTAGCTATCCAGCTCTTAACTGGGAAAATGAGCTGTATTCTGTGCCAACAGTATAAAATGTATAATTTTCATATAAAAATACCTTAAAATGATATATCTGTAGTGAACACTGTGTACTCTGGAATTTTTATGTGGTGCCTAGAAATAGGGATCCTTTCATAAATTAGATGCTCAAGTTTCAGTGCTGTCTGCGTAAAGAATATACAGTAAAAAAAATTTTGTTCCGATCAAAAAGCTGTCTGTTTACTGCTTCTGCATTGCACATCAGAGGATGGGATACCTATGGTATACACCAAAAGCCCGTTTAGAAGCAACTGTAGTTCAGTTCAGCCTCCTCAGATCCTCGCAGGGTCTGAAGTTGGACAGGAAGTTCAAGAAAAATAGAGCAGAACTTTGCCTTGTTGTTAAAAGTTAGTTTTAGGAATCCTGTTGTGAATTGTGGAAACAGTCAGTAAAGCATATTTCTGTGGTCAGCCTAAACCCGAAGTATTTGCATAAAAGTTAGCAGCTTCTTCAGCCATCACAAATGAGGAATAGCTCATCAGTGTAGCATGATGCCTGCTGGCTGCTTTGGTTATAACGTTGTTCATCTTCATTGACTTGCATATGCATGGATACTAACCTGTTCTTGTTTTGCTTTTTAATATTTTAATAGCCTTCAATGGTGCAGACCATTTTTTAAATAGTATTTTGTGAAACAAATACTATTTTCCTTTTAAAATACATGCTTTAAAGTGATGTACTGTGGTCTTCTGGTGACCAGTTTGCAACACATGTGGCAGGCAAACAATCTTGACTCGGAGTTGTTACTGAATTCATTTTTTTGCCAGTTAGCATAAAACTTCAGATCACTGGTTCAGGTACTAAGAAGATCAAAACAAAACCCCAATTAAGAAAATGCCTTTTTCCCTGCTTTCTGCAGGCTCAGCTTCAGTCAAACACCTCTCCTCTGCCCCTTCCTAGTCTCAGGTACCCTTGTTTTCTGTACATCCCAACCCCTTTGGTGAGGTAATGGGTGGCACAAGAGGGTGGGGTTGTGTGTGTGATGTTTTCCTTCTGCTGCTCCTTGCTGCTTACCAGTTTTCCTTTGCTGCATCATGACTCCTCTGCAAGCCACAGCCCTTCAGGGATGGGTCCCCTGCACGGACTACAACCCTTCCCCTAGTGACCACTGCTCCTTCTTAAATACATCTGGGCAGAGGTGCTATGGCTCCCCTGGCGACGTGATGTTTTGGTATGCAGTAAATTGCTTACAGCAGCTTCAAACTTGTCTACAAGTAGCACAAGACAGCTCACGATGTCCTGTCATGCAGGTCGCTCACTGCTGCAGCACCCCTGCTACCAAAATCCTGTGAGTTGAGCCCAATAGAATGTTCTAACTCTCCCATTTTACTTAAAATTTGAGCTCTCTAGATTATTTTTCCCAAGGCTTGGGTTTGTAATATGTTAAATAACCAAGTTACTGACTACTTTGTATTTTCATTGGCAAATTAGTTAATTTGTCTGTGATAAACATGGTAGCCACTTAAATGACTGCCAAGGTTGAGTTGTGAGGGAGACTAAACTCCCTTCGGTTTTTTTTTTCACTCTGAATAAACAATTACAAAGTGATTATTGCGTTAACATTTTTTTAGCATAAATAACTCCCCCCCCACACACACACTAAATAATCACTTTCCTCAGGTGGCTTCTTCAGTTTATTCTGAAAAGTGTATCCCTTACAGCTTTGAACGCTTAAAACATCTGTTTATTATTTGTGCACTACATTTCAATTTTTTTTTTTTAAGATTGCATATGGAAGTCATAAGTCTTGTTGCTGTACTTTATTAACCAAGTAGAATGCAAGCGCTGACCGATTGAAAGTAAATACAACAGTTGCAGGCTAAAAAAACCCTGATGCTTGGTAACTCTGTAAAAAGATGCCGCTCTATCCATATGTTGTTTATCAGTACAGTTATCTTTTTATATTGAGCACTTCAGCATCCATCTTAAATTTTCAAAACAAAAAAGCTCTCATTGATTTTTAAATTCTTGCCATCACTTCCATTGTAGTTAAGATGAAATACAGTTGCTTTTATCTCATGTTTTTTAAGTGTCTTACATATTTCTGGCAAAACTTTTTTATTGCTTGATTTCATTATTAACAATATGCAAATCTTGGTCTGCGATGTAAAACTTTCTAGTCTCATCTTTGAGCATATCTTCAAAGAGAAAAAGCTCTACTAAATATTTTAGACTCAGACAAATAAGGGTTGTAATAGGAAACGCCATTAATATTTTTTTATCCCCTCTTTGAATTGAAACCTATCCAATTCACAGCAGGGGATATGTCTTATAAATGCTGATGATCATCATCTTTATTATAGTACAAATGGAAAAGTAATTCCAATGACACTGAAAACACAGGAAAGCTCTTTTCACTAGCAGAGCATACTACTGTTACCCTCTTTGAAATCGTCTTCTGTTCTTATTGCTCTCATCACCGAATATCTGAACAGCTTGCATGAATTCTCTCACCTGATCAGTAAGTATACAATTGTTAAAAAAGTGTGAGGACTACACAGTGACAGGGATTAATCTTGGATGATAGTAAAGACTGGCTCTAATAATCCAGTTTTGAATAAATATGCAAAAGATGCAGGCTGCTGTTGCAAGCTTCAGTTGAAAGGTCCAGATCCCAACTCCATTTACTGACAAATGATTTTCTGTGGGTTTCTAATCCAATAGTTCTCCTGATGTTATGTGAGTGGGTTATTTGTTTGTTTTCCCTGAATAAAGAAAAGTTTAAGTAGTACTTTTTGCTTGTTTTAATAGTAAAAACACAGATATTGCTGTTGGATTTCTGAAGTTTATGTAAAGAAGGCCATCATTGCTAGAAAGCCAAGTATATCTGTTAGATTACTATAGCATACAGAAATATGCTAGAAATAGTATAGAAATATAGCCTATAGACTAGTGATTTAAAACAGTAATCTATTTACAGAAATTAAGCAACTTGCAGTTATCTTCTGACAGTCAGAGTAAATGCTGCTGTTTTTGTCATTTGCAGACCATGGAACTTAGAGTCCTGTCAGAACAATGTCCTGAAAGGACCAAAATACTGTAAGAGTTTGAGATTTTAATGAGGAATTACCATATATGGTGTACTTGTTGAAAAGGCTCGCCAAAGTAGAGACGTTGGGCATACAAGACAGAAATGCAGAGTTTGCGTAAGCTCTGCTGTGTTCTCACTGTGGAGTTTGGGATGTCGTTTATGTTCTTTTAATCTCCTCTTGAAGCATAACAGCATTGGTTTGGGTAAAAGCAGCCTGCTAACATATAAAGCAAGTAATTGATCTGGCTTT